AGTAAGTACTGGCTGAGCGCAGTCTGCCGTCTGCATGCCCGTCTCTCTCTCTGTCTCATGCATGTAGGCAATGTTTGCTCGCTACGTGCCTGAAATCGCTGCTCTCATCCTTAATCGGAAGAAATACGGAGGGAGTTATAACTCGACCCGAGGACGGAAGTAAGTCATGGACCCTCTAATGATCAACAGGTTCTTATTCTCACAGGAACTTCCTGTGATATCAGAGGGAGCTCCTATATTTGGAGGAGGATTATACTTTAGTGCACTTTACTTTTTACTATAGTAAAATAATGTACACTATAGTTACAAAAAAAACTACAGTATTGGCTCATTTGTTTATATTACTATTGCTGTTGTGTAACTATAGCAACTGTAGAATCACCACAACAGATCAATTATTGTAATTGTTACCATAGCAACTGTAGAATTACTACAGCAAATCAATCATTGTAGTAGTTGTTACCATAGCAACTAAGAATAATATTACAGATCAATTATTGTGGTTGTTGTGTTACCATAGCAACTAAAGAATTACTTTAACAGATGAATTATTGTAGCTGTTGTGTTACCGTAGCAACTGAAGAATTACTATTACTTTAACTGATCAATAACTGTAGCTGTTGCTACAATGCCAACTATTGAATTACTACAGCAAATCAATAATTGTAGTGATTATGTTACCATAGCAACTATAAAATCACCACAACAAATCAATTACTGTAATTGTTGTTACAATAGGAACTATAGAATTACTACACAAGATCAATAGTAGTTGTTTTGTTACCATAGCAACTATAGAACTGCTACATCAGATCAATTACTGTAGTGGTTATGTTTTTCATAGCAACTGTAGAATCACCACAACAGATCAATTACTCTAGCTGATGTGTTACCATAGCAACTGTAGGTTTATGAGGGTCTGGGGTCCAGAATGGCACACATCATCATCCCATTGCTTGTGGCGTTGTGTGTGTGTCGCTCACCGCTTGCTGATCTGTGCTACTTGTGACACTTTTGGGCTTTTCCACATGTGCTGTACGTGTCGTGATGTACCGTCATGATTGGTGTCCACAAATACACAACTGGAGCTTTGATTTGGAGATTCCAAATTGTTATAATTTGTCATAATTTTTTACTGATGTTTTTGATTATGCAGATAATGTAATGCAAACAGGCAGACAGAGGAAAAAACATGCAGAGTAATGGGGCAAACAATACATAGACTGTTCAATAGACCAGATCAAAACAGGCCTATAGTCGAGCGCAGATTAAAATATTACAAAAGTTAATATATTCTAGCCTGCATCAATATAAACAGCACCGCCTCCATGCCTTCTTCATCTCGAGGTGCTTTTTCAGTTTATTCATGTCAATTTGCTTTTGTATAATGTTATTATTAGTAGCAGCATTATTTATTATCTGCAGATTTATGTTTGCTTTAATAAAAACAAGCTTAGATTTGTCCACCTGTCAGGTTTTAGATCATATGGGGCACAGCATGTGTATTTGGATGTAACTTAGTTTTTTAACCACACTTCATTATTACTGTTCATTTGCTGGAGATTAGAACTGAATTTAGAAATAGTTTTGACATCTTTGTACTTAACAAAGGAAATTAATTATGTAGGCTAATGAATGTCTGTGTACAACACGTTTCCCTATCCACGATAGTGAAAGTGAAAGTAAATAATGAGGAGGCTCATCTTTCATTCTCGCGCCGCAGATGCTCTGTTTAACTGTTTTCTCGCTAGTAAAGCCTTCGGTTTTTACACTTACAAAGTCGCCATGTAAATAGCGAATGTGCCATGGCGCGACACCACTGGCTCTTAAAGGGAATGGGAGACGAGACTCTGATCAGGGGTTATATATATATATATATAATTTTATCATAATTATAAGCGGTTTTAAGCCATTTTACAAGGTGTCACAAATAGCATAAGTAGCTTGTAAAGTAGCTCGCCCTGTTCTGAAAATATGTAAAACATACATTCACATTTAATTAACCGTGATCATTTGGATAGAATACTTCTTCTTAATCTTGCTTGTTAAATGATTTAGATGCTTTGGGCTGTACAGTTTTGTTTGGTGGTTTTGTTTTGTTTAGTCTGTATTTATTACTTACCACCTTAATTTTTTAAAATATTTTATATAAAAATACTGTAATTATTTTGAACCCTTCTATAGTAAAGTGTATTTTACTGTACAATTTACAGTATTAACAACTCTTTTATATCTTAATATAGCAATTACAAGTTGTTTTGTTACCATAGCAACTATAGAATCACTACAACGTCAATTACAAGTTGTTGTGTTATCATGGGAGCTTTAAATACCCCACAACAGATCAATTACAAGTTGTTTTGTTACCATAGCAACTGTAGAATCACCACAACAGATCAATTACTGTAGTTGTTGTTACCATAGCAACTATGGAAACACCTCAACAGATCAATTACTGTAGTTATTACCATAGCAACTGTAGAATCACCACAATAGATCAATTAAAAGTTGTTGTGTTACCATGGCAACAGTAGACTTTGCTATAGCATGGTTCAAAACACTGCCATGTTTACCATAAATGACTATAGTTTTTAATGTGGGTTTATACTCATGTTCTTATAGCTCCTGAGAATACACTATAAAATACAATCAAATCAAATTTGACAGGAATTCTATTACTCTTGCATTTAACTGTATATTAATAATTGAATAGTCCAAATTAATCTGGTTTGTGATATTAAAGCTGATGTAGGATTAATATTGTGTTAAAGTGTGTGTGCTGCTAACCGTTCCTCAGGCATATCGTGGTGTGTGGACACATCACACTGGAGAGCGTCTCCAACTTCCTCAAAGACTTCCTACACAAGGACAGGGATGATGTCAATGTAGAAATAGTTTTTCTCCATAAGTGAGTATGATGATGATGATGATGATGGTATGTGTGTGTTCTGTGTGGTCTCTGTCTGCTTCTATCTAACACTGCTCTGCTCTCTTTATTTCCAGTATTTCCCCTAATCTTGAGCTGGAAGCCTTATTCAAGAGACATTTCACCCAGGTGGAGTTTTACCAGGGCTCTGTGCTCAATCCTCACGATCTCGCTCGAGTCAAGGTGACGCTTTTATTATCAGCGCAGCAGAAAAACTGTGTTTGGGAATGTAACGCATTGCAATATTGAGTTACTCCCTAAAAAACTAATGGGAACACTTTACTTGAAGGGGTGTTTATAAGACTGTCATAAAGCCATCATAATCAAAAATCTCTCTTTATAATCAATGCAATCCCTTAAAAGTCTTCACTGAATTTGTCCAGATTGAATCAGCCGATGCCTGTCTGATCTTGGCCAATAAATACTGCGCAGATCCTGATGCAGAGGACGCATCCAATATCATGAGGTGTCAGCTGATTGCATTATTGTACTTCAGACCATTTGTGATTATAATCCTGATTGTAATGTAGATTTGTGTTCTTGTAGGGTGATATCCATTAAAAACTATCATCCAAAGATACGCATCATTACACAGATGCTGCAGTACCACAATAAGGTGAGAGCTTCTGTCCTTATTAAAGAGATCAAGCTGATTGCTGAAATGCAGAAGTAAAAATATCTGGGTATGTTAATCAATTATAAACTATGGGGAAATGCATGAGCTTCATGAAATATAGAGCAAGTTATGAGGTGGGGGAGCAGATTAATGCAAATAAATGTAAATGCTATATACAGTGTACTGGGAGTACATGTGTATTATACTGTGATTATATAGTGACTATACAGTGCATTGTACAATTTATATATAGTAACTATACAGTACACCATGATTATACAGTGAGTCCAAAGTGAGCATACAGTGATTATACAGAGTATATACAGTGCATTATACAGTGTATTAAACAGTAAGTATATAGTGAGTATACAGTAATTATACAGAGTATATGTGTATTATACAGTGATTATATAGTGATTATATAGTGCATTATACAGTGAGTATACAGTGATTATACAGAGTATATGTGTATTATACAGTGGTTATATAGTGACTATACAGTGATTATACAGTGATTATACAGAGTATATGTGTATTATACAGTGGTTATATAGTGACTATACAGTGATTATACAGTGATTATACAGAGTATATGTGTATTATACAGTGATTATATAGTGATTATATAGTGCATTATACAGTGAGTATACAGCGATTATACAGAGTATATGTGTATTATACTGTGGTTATATAGTGACTATACAGTGCATTATACGGTGATTATACAGAGTATATGTGTATTATACAGTGATTATATAGTGACTATACAGTGCATTATACAGTGAGTATACAGTGATTATACAGAGTATATGTGTATTATACAGTGGTTATATAGTGACTATACAGTGCATTATACGGTGATTATACAGAGTATATGTGTATTATACAGTGATTATATAGTGACTATACAGTGCATTATACAGTGATTATACAGTGAGAATATAGTAAGTATAAGGTAATTAAACAGAGTATATGTATATTATACAGTAATTATATAGTGACTATACAGTGCATTATACAGTGATTATACAGTGAGTATATAGTGATTATACAGTGATAATATACTTACTATACAGTGCATTATACAGTGACTATACAGTGAGTATATAGTGATTATACAGTGATAATATACTTACTATACAGTGCATTATACAGTGACTATACAGTGAGTATATAGTGATTATACAGTGATAATATACTTACTATACAGTGCATTATACAGTGACTATACAGAGAGTATATAGTGATTATACAGTGATAATATACTTACTATAGATTGCATTATACAATGACTATACAGTGAGTATATAGTGATTATACAGTGATAATATACTTACTATACAGTGCATTATACAGTGATTATACAGTTACTGTACAGTGCATTATACAGTGAGTATACAGTGATTATACAGAGTATATGTGTATTATACAGTGGTTATATAGTGACTATACAGTGCATTATACAGTGATTATACAGTGAGAATATAGTAAGTATAAGGTAATTAAACAAAGTATATGTATATTATACAGTAATTATATAGTGACTATACAGTGCATTATACAGTGATTATACAGTGAGTATATAGTGATTATACAGTGATAATATACTTATTATACAGTGCATTATACAGTGACTATACAGTGAGTATATAGTGATTATACAGTGATAATTTACTTACTATACAGTGCATTATACAGTGACTATACAGTGAGTATATAGTGATTATACAGTGATAATATACTTACTATACAGTGCATTATACAGTGACTATACAGTGAGTATATAGTGATTATACAGTGATAATATACTTACTATACAGTGCATTATACAGTGACTATACAGTGAGTATATAGTGATTATAAAGTGATAATATACTTACTATACAGTGCATTATACAGTGACTATACAGTGAGTATATAGTGATTATACAGTGATAATATACTTACTATACAGTGCATTATACAGTGACTATACAGTGAGTATATAGTGATTATACAGTGATAATATACTTACTATACAGTGCATTATACAGTGACTATACAGTGAGTATATAGTGATTATACAGTGATAATATACTTACTATACAGTGCATTATACAGTGACTATACAGTGAGTATATAGTGATTATACAGTGATAATATACTTACTATACAGTGCATTATACAGTGATTATACAGTGAATATATGTGTATTATATAGTGATTTTATAGTGACTATACAGTGCATTATACAGTGATTATACAGTGAGTATATAGTGATTCTACAGTGATAATATACTTACTATACAGTGCATTATACAGTGACTATACAGTGAGTATACAGTGATTATACAGTTAGTATATGTGTAATATACAGTGATTATATAGTGACTATACAGTGCATTATACAGTGATTATACAGCGAGTATATGTGTATTATATAGTGATTATATAGTGACTATACAGTGCATTATACGGTGATTATACAGTGAGAATATAGTAAGTATGCGGTAATTAAACAGAAAGTATATGTGTATTATACAGTAATTATATAGTGACTATACAGTGCATTATACAGTGATTATACAGCGAGTATATAGTGATTATACAGTGATAATATACTTACTATACAGTGCATTGTACAGTGACTATACAGTGAGTATATAGTGATTATACAGAGTATATGTGTATTATACAGTGATTTTATAGTGACTATACAGTACATTATACAATGATTATACAATGAGTATATAGTGGCCATACAGTGGATAATACAGTGATTATACAGTGATTATACAGTGACTACAGTGACTATACAGTGAGTAAATAGTGAGTATACAGTGATTATACAGAGGGTATATGTGTATTAGACAGTGATTATATAATGACTATACAGTGCATTATACAGTGAGTAAATAGTGAGTGTACAGTGATTATACAGAGAGTATATGTGTATTATACAGTGAACTAATAGTGATTATACAGAGAGTATACAGTGCTTGATACAGTGAGGATGCAGTTATTATATAGTGATTATACAGGGATTATACAATGATTATACCATTATAAATGTGACAGTGAGTGTGTGTGCTCCTCCAGGCTCATCTGCTGAACATCCCGAGCTGGAACTGGAAGGAAGGAGACGATGCCATCTGCCTGGCGGAGCTGAAGTTGGGCTTCATCGCCCAGAGCTGCCTGGCACAGGGGCTCTCCACCATGCTGGCCAACCTGTTCTCAATGAGGTCCTATATCAAGGTGCGTGTGTGCGCAGGTGCAGCACAGAACACACACACGTCAGCTCTGAATCTCTAAAAACTTTTGACGTTTTTCTGTGCAGATTGAGGAGGACACGTGGCAGAAGTATTATCTAGAAGGAGTAGCCAATGAGATGTACACTGAGTATCTGTCCAGTGCCTTCGTGGGTTTATCTTTCCCCACCGTCTGTGAGTAAGTATGGAGAAACATCTGTCCACAATAACCTTCGCATCTTACTGT